AACCAAGGGATGTCAGCTTTAAAACAGAGATGATAGTCAACAGTGACAAATGCTAAAGAAAAGTCAAAGGACAAGGGACTGAGGAAAGTTTACTTGAATTGGCGATTAGCTATTTATTAGAGACACTGAAAATTGTGATGGTTGCACAGCTTTGAAAATACTAAAAACTACTGACTTGTACAGTTTAAGTGGGTAATGTGTATGGTATAGAATTACATTTCAGTAAAATACATACATACACATATAAATAAAATAACATTTTTGGAAGTGCAATAGGGCAGAAGGTGTAGAAACCGTAAAGAATAAACAGGCTAGGAAATAGGTTATTCTTTTCTAATTCGTTTTTTAATTTTTTGAGACAGAATCTCCATCTGTCATCCACGCTAGAGTGCAGTGATGTTCACTGCAACCTCTGCCTCCTGGGTACAAGGGATTCTCCTGCCTCAGCCTCCTGAGTAGCTGAGATTACAGGCATGAGCCACCACGCTTGGCTGGAAATAGGTTATTCTTTTGAGACATCTGTTCTCAAAGAGAGTAACGGGGAATAGCAGGGAATAGGTTTTGTTATTTTGTTATTCTTTGGTTTTTATTTATTTTTCAGCATAAAGGAGAATGAAAAATGTCTGCAGCTAGAAAAAAAAAAAAGGAATCACTAGAGGAGTCAGAACAAGGGAGGGTGACTGGTCAAGGGATAATAAAAAGCACAGTAAAAAGTTAACCTTAGAAAGAAAGCTCCCTCTTTCCCTGAGAAGGGAAGAAAAAATTTGAGAAAGATACTATTAAAGAATCTGTTAAGGGGGAGGAAGTAACTAAAAAATCTCAAACTCCCTCCATATTATCTAGGAAGTGGAATGCCAAGATATCTGTTGAGGGGAAAGGGGCAGAGTGGGGAGTAGTATCAGAAATAACCCAGTAGGGACGTAACTGGGATGGAAAAGAATCTCAGTCTACAGGTGGATAAATCATAAGTACATTCAATTCTGTTTTACCTTCTGTCACTGGCCAAACTCCTGGTCCCTGCAGATTCCAAGGCAGAATGAACAAATTCATGAAATGCAGTGAAAATATTATGGACATAAACAGAATCGAGACAGTCCTCAAAATCGTACAACTCCCTGAAAAAGTTCTTGCCTCAGTTCTATAAATCTGTTCCCTATTCAATTATTTTTTTGCAAGACCCTAAAGTTATAAATTTTCGCATTAGCAGCTCGTGATTACTGTGAAAATGACTGAGATTTATGAACTCTGCAAAACGAAAATCCATAAACAAGTAACCTGTCAGGATGTTTTAGCAGCACCTTTCAGGAATGTGCTTCATAAATATCATTTTACATCATAAAAGACTAAAGATATTCTCAACATTTAGAATTATGGAAACAATAGTAAATATCACTATGCAATTCTCTCACCCAATATCGAAATCCCCTCTTAGTAATATCTGGCCACTTATCAATGAAATCTCATTAGTTTATAAAACAACCTATGCCATTGCTGGGTATCAATAACTCGTGTTCACATAATTCCTGTATTCCTATGTTGATTTTTATCTGCTCTGCTCATCCCCTAGATCTGCTACACAGATTGCATAAAATAATGTATGAGTAAAATCTACCTTTTACCAACTCTCGAACTTCCACCAGGGTCCCTAAACTAAGCCTTGAAAATACACTTCCCCTATCTACTGATTGACTTTCAAATAGGTAAAAGCAATTTTACATTCTCTTTTCTTCTCTAGGGTAAATAAATCTAACCATTTTCCTCATCATGATTTTTTTTCAGTGTTTCAACTTCCCCCTAAATATTAGGAATCAAAACAGATATCATGTGCATAGTACATGGGAGAGGAGCAGTAACTAACATTCAGTAACACGTCCATTTGTGTCTGCTGTGTTGCAGCATGTCTGCAAGCTATGTTTACTTATCTTCACAATTCATCACTGAGAAAATGGAGCCAGAGACACGAAGCAACTTGACTAATTTACAGCTAACAAGTGGCATTCACAATCTGTCTTACTTTATACCAAGATACTGCCTTCCCTCACTCTAGACACTGCTCTGCTTCTGTGAGTGGAACATTACATCCTAGAACCACTTTTGTCAAGCAAGAAAAATTGAGTGTCTATAAATTTAATCACTCCAAGTAAACGCATTTATTTTTAAATTATTATTTTTGTATACAATCTTGCCTAGTAAATTTATATTAGTGTCATCTAATGTGCTGGCTAATTATCACTACACGGTTTAAGTGCATTTATTAACTTGAGGAGCATGCTTCTTATATATTTAAAGTTGGTAATATAAAAGTGCTAACCAGGGTCAGGGCAAGACCAGAGTCCTGTAGTATATCTCCGAAGACATCTCCCCAGGCTTACATCAACCCATTAATCAACATTTTGGGTTTGGTAATTTGAATGGATATAATAAATCCATTTACACCTAATCCAATGCACACTTAGCTCTTCTGTCTAGACACAGAATTATGTTCAGTGTCCTAAATAAACTTAAATGAACTTATGTCCAGCAATCCCCAATCACCACCAGTCTAGTAAAAACCATAAAAAAAGGAAATATGATCTGTGTCACCCGGCTTTTTTTTTTTTTTTTTTTTTTTGAGACAGGGTCTTGCTCTGTCGCCCAGGCTGGAGTGCAGTAACACAATCACAGCTCACTGCAGCTTTGATCTCTCACAGACTCAAGTGATCCTCCTGCCTCAGTCTCCTGAGTAGCTACTACAGGCATGCACCAAGACATCTGGCTAATTTTTTGGTTTTTTTTGTAGTGACGAGGTCTCACTATGTTGCTCAGCATCATCTTTAACTCCTGAGCTTGAGTGATCCTCCAGCTCTGGCCTCCCAGAGTGCTGGTATAATAAGCATGAGCCACTACCTCTGGCCTCACCTGTCCTATTCTTATTGAAACTTTCTGCTGGCTTGAGAGAATCAGCTTTCCTTTCCCAAGTTCTTATAAACTTGTTGGTTCTTCCAACAAGATTCTAGAACAGATTATTAATGGGTTCCTAGCATCCAAGAGCCATCTCATGGCTCTTGGTGAAAACTGAGACATTTATCAGACACTAGTCTTCTATTATTAACTGCATTTTTAGGATTTTTCATCAATAATGATTTTACAATGTCATCTGCAATTACTCTGGTAAACAATTTGAGCTTAAAAATATGATCACTCTGTTATCTCAATTACCTTGAATTTAATTCCTCTAGATTTTTTTGTCCTTACCCAGTTTTAAAGAAAACAAGCAGAAAACACTGCCCTCCCTTTTAGGCACTCAGCAGAGTCACTGCTTTCAAATATAATCTCCTGAAATGAACTAGCTCATTTAATAGGCCACAGATATGACCAACTTTTCTTTATGACATTCAGTTTTAGAAACAGCATTTAAAATTTAAGAACCTCATTAACAACTCCAATAGTTTTTGTTGCTTGTTAGTGAAAACTAGGTTTTCAAAATGGAACAAATTCAAAAAGAATTTGCCCAGAAATCAACTAATAAGCATGAACAATGCATCACAATATAATCGAAATGGGATAAAAGCGGGTAAAAACCCCTAAGAGACACCAGTGGTAGTCACTCTGAATAAAACAATCTTGGATAATCACTACATTCACAGTCAAGATTATTTAACAGGTAAGCATCCTAATGACACAACTTTAATCCAAATGTCTGTGAATACTACTATCACTACTATCATCTATTGGTTCTTTCATTGGGCAATACAGAGGGCTTAATAAACGTCAGGCAGTGTTCTGGGCGCTGAAAGTTCCTCGCTTTCATTCTAGCAACATCATTCCTACAAGCCTTTAATGAGCGCCTAAAATTGCAAGGCACTGTGCTAGACATCTGTAAAGAGAGATTTAGATCGAGATACACAAACATCACCAAGTTTCCCTTAAAAACATAAAAGACCACCCTTAAGAAATGCTCTTATTAGTCATTCCTGGCCGAGCGCCGTGGCTCACGCCTGTAATCCCAGCACTTTGGGATGCCGAGGCGGGAGGATCAATTGAGGCCAGGAGTTCGAGACCAGCTTGGCCAATATGGTGACACCCCGTCTCTACTAAAAATACAAAAAGTAGCCTGGCCGCGTGGTGGCGCACGCCTGAAATCCCAGGTACTCGGGAGGCTGAGGCTGGAGACTCGCTTGAACCCGAAAGGCAGAGGTTTCAGTGAGCCAAAATTGCACCACTGCACTCCAGCCTGGGCAACAGAGACAGTCTCTGTCTCGGGAAAAAAAAAAAAAAAAAAAAAAAAAAAAAATAGTTCCTAACCTAAGATGACTTAGCGAAAGCTCCGTTTAACTGGCAATCTAAATTTAGGAAGCGTCACCGAGCCTATCTTGGGCAGACAATAGTTTAGGAGCTGTCAGATAACCTCTAGACTTTCGGTCCCATGTTCTAAATAACAATTTCTCTCATAACAAACCAAATTAAGCACCAGGAGCGGGTCCGTAAAGACGATGTCTCCATAAGAACGAAATCTAATCGCGGAAGTGCCTTTTCCTCATTCCTAGTCGCACCCTCGTTACGTGGCTCTTCAAACTCCAAAGTCGGAGTACCCTAGATACAGAACAATCTCCAAAAAGTCTCAGGCCTACCCAAGTTTGGGACTAATACGCCGCGAAATAATCGGGGAAATATGAGTACTCAGTAGCTATGAGACTGTGCGCGGGTGACACCCCTGTCCCTTTTGCCCAAGCCCTAGAAAGTCCCCTAACTCTGACTGACCCCTACTGCGAGGGCCGCCACCAGTTCTAGGGTGCGCCCGGCCTCCCTGCCCCGCCCCGGCGCCTCGGACCCTCACTCCAAGCCCGCCCCGTAGCCCCGCGCCGCCCGCTAAGTTCAATGTGTACGAGAGGTTAGCGGAGGGAGGCGGAATCCGAAAAGAGAGACTCCGCCAGTGGATGGCGGCGGTTGGCCATAACCTACTCCGACCTCCAGATACGTGGGAGGTGGGCGGTGCCGCCCGCAATCGGTGGGTCACTCACCCCTCGTTTCAGGCAAGCCCCTTAGCGACGTCTCTCCTTGCCGACTGCGGCCATCTTGCATGTGGAATGTCGGGGAATACGTCATCACGCTGCGTCTTGAGACAAAAACCAAGCGACCGGAGGGGCGGAGAAAGTAGGATGCCTGTTAACCAATGGGAAGAAAGCAGGGCTCTCAAAAGCGGAATGGGCCGCCTCATTCCTCCTCCCCCGCCCCGCGGGTTAGTGGCTGCTGCGTGCAGGGGGAGGAGCCAGCCACAGGGCCACTCCCGTCGGTCCCGCCCCCCGGGGCGAAAAAGATTCTGGAGCAACCAAACCTGCTAACGGAACTTGGAAGCGGAGGCGGGGTCCGGGTCGCCCTTCGCCCAATCAGAGCTGGGGCGGGGGCGAACGCAGCCAATTGCGACCTCGGGGTTGGCGGCGGCTGAGCTGGCCGCTCTCGCCCCCGGGAGCCGCCAGCCCACTGGCTGGGGAGGACCCCGAACGGAACGCCGGCTTGGCGGCGAGGCGGGGCCGCGCCCATGCGTCCGAGGCGCGGACCAATGAGCGGCTGCGGCGGCGGCCTGGAGGTGGGGTCTAGGGCGGGCGGAGCGGGGTTGGGCCGCGGCGGCAGGGCCGTCTCAGGCTGCCGTCCCGCCCCTCCCGTCCGGCCGCCGCCGCCGCCACCGCCGCCACTGCCACCGCCGCCACTGCCACCGCCTGGGGGTTGGTTGAGGCGGACGGCGGGGTCCGGGCCGGAGTGCGTCGTTCCCGCTGCGCTAGGGGAAGCGGGCAGGTGAGTCCTGGCGGCGGTCTCTGCGCGCATGTGGCCCGGGGGCTGCGAGAGAAACTCGCGCTGCCTCTCCGAGCGTTACGAGGCCGCCCCCCGCCCTGGCTGGCGCCCCTCTGCTGAAGTCCGGCGCGCGCCACCGCCCGAGCCCTGCCGGCCGCTCCGGGCCCGGGGCTTGAAGGGGCGGGCGTGAGCCCCGGAGCTGGGGTAGGGAGGGCCCTGCGGGGTCGGAGGGCGCGGGTCGGCCTCTGTCCTGGCGCCCTGCGGGGCGGGAGGCGCGCGCTCTCTGCTGCCGGTCCCTTCTGGCTCCCACACTCCCGGGCTCCGCGCCATCCGGTCCGGAGGTGGTGGCAGGTGCAGGCAGCGCTCTCCCTGTGCTTGCCCCCCTGTCCCCGGCCCTCGCGCCCGCTCTCGGGTGGGGCCCGGGCCCCTCGCGCTGGTCTGCTCGGCTCTGCGTGCGGCCGGGTCGCGCTCTCATTTCCTTCTTTCCGTCACCCCGCTGCCCGGGGAAGGCTGTGCGGTTTTATGTTCCTCTCTGCGAGTCCTCAGTGCCCACCGGGGTGCCCGAGGACCAGCCCCCGCCTCCCATCCGCTCCGTCCAGTTAGGAAGACGGTCGTAGGAAATAGGTCGTCTTTCTTCCCACGCGACGCTGGCCGTGCTCCACACGCGCATTGCCCTACTAGGGAGAGGCATTCCGTGCTTAGAGTTTGTCATTCCGCCGTTAAACTCTTCCTCCTCGTGGCTCCAGCCCAGGGATGCAACTCTGCCTTTCCCCCGTCTCCACTCGGGGAAAGGAGCTGACAGTGACGCGCGCCCCTAGCTGCGGTGCTCACCCCCGCCGGGCCGGTGTTGGGAGGAGGGTGTTTATTGCCGAGGCATTCACACGTTGGGATCACTCGGACCGTGTTATTTTGCTTTTCTAAATAAATGAGGTGAGGTTACAAAAGCAAAAATACTTTTAAAGTATACTGACAAATTAATTTTGCTTTTAAGAATCCTCGAAGAGTTAACTCTGTTCGTAGCCTGATTGTTGTGCTGATGAGGCCACTATATATGCGTTTGTTGAAACTCAACGGAACACTGAAAAGTGAATTTTTTATCTCGTGTAAAAGATACCTCTCCCTTTCCCATTTTTCTTCTTGAAATGACCTTGCCAGTATTTCAAAACTGAGCTAACCATAATAATCTTGGAGAAGTGTTTATTATTTTAAGTGAAAACATTTAACCCAAGAATATAGAAAAATAAAAGTAGTCTTGCTCTCCACCGTTAAAATTTGCCAAGACTTGCTAGAACTATGCTGTATCGACTGTGTTTATACGGGCTACCATGCGTGAAAGTCCGGCAGTACCAGATTAGTCCCAGGGGCTGCTGTGATTGATTCTTTGGTGAAATTCCAACAGTTTACGGAGGAGTTTTTCTCTGGCCTAAGAAAGTAGTTTGCAAGCCAAGTTCTCAAACAGCTACAGAACAACCTCTTTATTGGGACCCCAGACAGCCTTGGATTTTAGCCTTCTGCTACCCCTTTCCTGTCCGCCCTCCTTTCTGTGTGTTTAAGATTGTAAGTTAATATCTGAAATGGAACTTTAGTTTGAAGGAGTAAAATGGTTGCCTCTCCAGTGTGCTAACATCTCAGTGCTTTTTTTTTCCTGGAATTGGAGTCATGTTGGATTTGAAGATTAAAACATCTATATGTCTGTGTGTATGGTAATAGCGAAAACTTCTCATAAGAGCACGGTGAGACTGTCAATAAGAAAGTGATGGTTTCTGAGCTGCTCTTCTGTGCCGGGGACATTTAGGCCACATTTTAAATGATAATTAAACTTTTGCTTTAGAAGCCACTGGATAATGAGAAAAATGTGGAGGTTGTGCTCAGATATTTTTCCTATTTAAAGTTCAACCACTGGACAACTGTTTGTGTTTGAGAGTTCTGATAAACGGTCACAACAGCCTCATTGAAATGCGGTACTCTCCTGCCTGGAGGAGAATGACAGGATTACAGCACTAGGGAAAATATGACCATCAGCGACAGAGCCTTGCTTGGAGTGAATATTTATTGAAATCAATGAAACCAGGTGCATAGTTTGTGCTGTGTTTTAGTAAAAATCCTACCTCCGAGTCAGGGAGGTAGGATTTGTGAATGCTTTGTGACTAGATGTCAGTTTAGTTTGAGGCTTACCAGGTTTCTTAAATGTTTGAATTACATACAGTCTTTCTTCTTATCACAAATCCGAAGTAGGTTTTAGAGCTGTAACTAATAATACTCTTATCTTTCTTATGTGTAGTTGGACGAATATCCATCTCTGAGAGGTTATTTGTCTTTAGAGACTGGTTTGCCTGTTCCCTGGCTACTGTGCCTGGTGCTTCTGTTGTGGGTGGGGAGGAAGAGTTTCAAGTGTGTTTCCTTCCCTTGGACCGAACTCCTGGGAATGGAGTGGGGACTTTGTTCCCCCACCGAGGACTGGGAGTCATTTATTACTGTGGCATTAAATGTTTTTAACAGAACAGTGAATATATCTTCATTCTTATGTTACTGTGGATGTTGCTTGTAGCCAGTTATAATATTTTCTTTCTTAATTACCTATCATTATCTTTGGGCCCTTTTTTTAATCAGCAAAAAATCCTTTAATTAACTGTGCATCTTTTCCCTCCTGCTGCAGTCATAGAAGTGTTTATCTGGACAACAGTTCATTCTAGGTCACATTTAACCAGTCAAGAGTGTTAGACTAGAGTCTTGCTTTTATAGTTTACTACAGTTTTCACTTTTGTTGCCTTTACAATGGATTTCTGTCCATTGGATTTCTTTTTATCATCTCATTTTCCTATTCATAACATTGGAGAGCTTAACTATTTTGATAGGCAAATAGAATTAATTTGCATAATATTTACTCTCAAGGTAAAAATAAATTTCTATCAAAATATTAATAGATATGTTGTGTTTTCCTATTACAAAGAAGTTGCGACTTGGTTTTTTCTTTTTTTTCTTTTCGAGACCAAGTTTTACTCTTGTTGCCCAGGCTGGAGTGCAGTGGTGCGATCTTGGCTCACTGCACCTTCTGCCTCCTGGGTTCAAGCGATTCTCCTGCCTTAGCCTCCCGAGTAGCTAGGATTACAGGCATGTGCCACCATGTCCGGCTGATTTTGTAAATTTTTAGTAGAGGTGGGGTTTCTCTGAGTTGGTCAGGCTGGTCTCGAACTCTTGACCTCAGGTAATCTGCCCACCTCAGCCTCCCAAAGTGCTGGGATTACAGGTGTGAGCCACCATGACTGGCCTGAGACTTGGCTTTTTAAAAAGTCACTTAATAGTCTTTTAAAAAAAAAATTAGCATCTTCAAGATTAAGAAGTCTTGCTTTTTAACTCAAGCCAGAGATTAGCTGTGTTGACCCCATTTCCACTCGGGAGTCTCCTCTAAGTTTTGGAAATAAATGGATCATAAAAACAAGAGGTGAAAACACAGATATTGAACATTTTTGGCTGAGATAAATTTGAATGGAAGAAAACTGATTCCAAATAATTATAAAGTTCAAAGTTAAGACTTTGCAATTCTTTATTTTCTCATATCAAGTACTTTCCAAGTAGAAGTGAACTAGTAAGTCCAAACAGTCTTCGTTGACAATGGAGGACAGATCTGTCTTTGAAGGTAAGATTTTGAAAGGGATGTACTGATTACTAAGCCAAAGTGAATTCTTAGTCTTTTATAAGCCTAACGTCAGTACTGGGATGGGGAAGTTGGGGAGGGCACAGGGACAGAGCAGGAAGAATGTTTCCACTGTTGTTTAGAAGGATAAAAAAAATTTTCTAGAGAATGTAGATAATTAGGTTTTTCCACAGAACTTTTTATTTTTAGTTTTTAATTGACAAAAATATATGATACATAGAGCTCTTAATAAAATATGCACCATCTTAGGTTTATCATTGTCTATGATCTCTGAGTTTCACTTTCCATTTTTTAAGAATACAATGCATTAGTACATAACAAACCTAAGAAATTCTTCCCACTAAAATGGTTAACAATATTCAGTCTCAGAAAATAGACATGCCTTTTCAATATCAGCAGTTTTCTATTACACATAGTTGAGAGAAAGTAAGGATTAGGGTTGAAAAATACTTCCTAAAGCTGCTTTTACTGTAAAATATTTACTACTGCCTATAGACTAATAACATTTTTGATTTGTTGGTTGTAATTATTTAGCATTGCTGCATATCACGATCACCTCACGGCTCTGTGCTTTTGCGCCACAACAAAAGTGTGGCATTGTGCTGGATTGGGTGGAAACTCTTTTGGAAGTTTTGCCCATATCCCAAATTAAAACCGAATTTAATCTCTTCCTATGTATTTGGACAAAGACAGCAAAATAACTATTTTTAAAAGGCCAAGGAGATAACACCTTTACCTGTGTATGTTTTACCTTGCAAGGGAATGGTATTATTTTGAGTATCAGAGATAACAGTGAACCTTTGGAGCTCTCATAAGTGGGTTGGTTTTGAGCTGAACTCATGAGATATTATTGAGCATCAGTAAGATATGTCATTGAGGTGTGCTGGTGAGGCTCTGACACAAACTGTGTCTATCATTGTGCATAAATTAATCAGTCTCTGTAAGCGTCAGCTTTCTCATCTGTGAAGTGGGTATAATACCTATCTTATATTGTGTAAAATTCTTACCTCGGTTTCTGATCATATAATAA